CTGTATTCATATATGTAACATCCAGATAATACATGCAAATATCTGTGAAATAATTTCAGGAACAGGTACGTAAGTATTTTCTTTTGGAAGGAAGCGTCCCATTTTGTTAGGCATTAATGTAAACAATGTATGGGAAACCCTTGGGAGCTGCTGATCAAAATACCTTTCTGTTGATAACTTGGTTTAGTAGATGAGACAAAAAGCTTTTCCCCTTGAAGCTGTTGGCTTAAATGAGTTCAAGGTGAGTGCTAGCTTGGGGAAGGCTCCAAAGAAATGAGTGGCTTCATTTCTTGTAGAACTCCCACACCATCAAGTTCAACATGTCCCTGGTAGAAATGTTTGTATTCTTAACAGTCTTGGCAAAGTGATGAAAAATGGCATGAGCTGGATTACACGCTATTCTTTTCCAACTACAACTAACTCTTCGAGCTCAAGAAAGAGGACTGCAAATACCTTATCTGCTTATTTACTTTAGAAGCTACACTTTCTGAAGTCACTCCATAACTGAATGAACTGCATTTCCCCATGTTAATAGTTTCAAAATCTGTATTTTCAGCCTTGCCACTCACAAAAAAAAGGAAAGACACAGAAATAATTCCGCCAGCTACATAACTCCATGAAGGCTGCAGGTTTATCCTATTAAGGACAGTATTTAATTAGAAGTAATGCATGGAACTGTTTTCTAATAAACACTGTAAAGGTCATATAATTAGATATTTTATTAGAAATAAATATTCTTATTTTGTTATTCCCCCTTTCCATTCATGCTGTACTGATTTGTACTGAGAGTTCTTTTGCTAGTTAGCTGTCTAAGGAGAAAGGGGTTTCTGTACGTGTGGGATTCATTCCTTGTATTAAAAGAGAGGCAAGATTTCATCTGTTTTTCTGTGGATGCACATTGGATTTAAGGGCTTTTCAGTTCCCTTTAGTCCTTATGCTCATCTTTCCTGAAAGTATCAGGCAGAAGTGATGACGTGCCATCATTCCCTCACCACCAGGCCTGATGTTGTAAGTCATATAAAACAAGGAACAAATCTTTCGGCTCTGCTTTCATTCCTTGTTTATACAACAGAGTCATAATCAATGAGTAGTCTGATCTAAAGAGAAATAGTAGCAGCTCCCCAGCGTACCAGACCCATGCAAGATTGAGTGTTGATGCCTTCTGGAGGAATTTCTGTGGTCCTTTTCACTGTCTTGCAGAATAGGTGCTGCCTTACAGCCACAGACTGGTTCCTGCTCTGATTTCCGATACTTTCAACCCACTACACTTTTCAGCTTTCTACTCTTATCTGTCCGTGCTTGAACTCAGGAAAAAGAGCATTAAACACAAGTATTTCAAGCTTAGTATAAAATTCTCATTTGAAATAAGGAGCTATAGGTTAGGAATTCCCTGCACACTGCTTAGCTGCGATTTCAGGGCATGATTAATTTCTCAGTGCAGATCATCAGGCAGACACCCGCAGGGGTTCCTTACTTGTGCTTAAAGCAGAAGATTGAAACAGAGGAGTGCTCATTTATAGGTGAGATCGTAATTTTAATATTGAGATACACCAGCAATTTTTTCTCCATATCAAGAGCTACCATTTAGATTTATATGCAGTTTTCCGGCATGTTCCTTTCAGATGCTGAAGTATGAGTATCGGGATTTCTAGGAAAATGCCATATGCAACCAGAAAACCAATTTGCAACGGAGAGAAATGCATTGAAATGCAACGCTTTCTCACAAAACTTCATTGCCAGAGCTTTGTCTTACCCTCCCTCGCATTGCTGCTGACCTCTCAGCAGCAGCCACACGAGCTGAGACGCACGAAACATTTGCAGCCGGTAATATCCGATGATAACCTTGACTGTGACATACATCATCATTACTGCTCCGTAAGGCGGGAGGGACCCGCGAGCGCAGCGCGCCCGGGACCTGCAGGCAGCGAGAAGGGGCGGCCACTCCGTTCCTCTGCCTAACGCTCTGCCCTTTGGGATTTTCCCTCCCGCCCTTGCCGGGGTGTGACCCTCCTTTCCTCCCAGCCCCCGGCGGCCCCGCGGTCCAGCCCG